TTTGAATAATAACAATCTATATTATGACTCAACTGTGTAATGAAAATTTCCAACAATAAATATCTGACAGGGTAATTTTGGTTTTAATATGAAATTGTAACAATAGTCAAAATAACAAAATATACTGGATCAATTGAAGTGTTACTGCTTTTTAACTATTGATATTCTGGCTCAATTTTGAAGAGGAAATTTCCACCAATAAATAACAGTATATAATTTTTTATTTCCGAAACAGTAACGACAGACAAAATAACAAAATATGTACACCATATTCCAAACTGGCAGGTATTCTTTTGTCTTATAATATGTTAATTGGCCCTCCCATGTTTCAACCGGGATAACACCTTGGGAACACCGTAAAATTAAGCCCCTCCATGTATAAGCCCCTCCAAATATAAGACCCCCAAGCCTGTAACGCAAAAAACCCTCCGTTAAATCGCCCCTCCAAGTATAAGCCCCCGGGTGCTTGTACTTGGAAAATTGCCCTCAAATACAAAGTAAAACAACTGAGCAAAAACGGTAAATTTACTTCCAACTATTTAAGGCTAGCCCAATCGATTTTGAAACGCGAATTTCCTTCCGTAGATAAGCCCCTCCAAAAATAAGCCCCGGGGCTTATTTTCGGAATTTTACGGTAGTCTTATTGATTTCTGCAGATGCAATTGAGGCGCCAAGGGCGAATTAACGCATGAAAAAGTAATCTTACTATTATATTTTGGGATAATCTATATTGCACAAAATGAAGAGCAGCTGCCAATTTTCTTAAAATTGTCCCTGGATTAATTTCATATGCTAATTTATGACAAACTAGGTCAAAACAAGGATAGATTTAAACTATTAGACCAAGGATAAAGTTGAACCACTATGCCTTTATAAGATATTTAAATAAAACCACACTGTATGGATAGTCAAAAGTGACTTCCCGACTTCAGAGGATATCATCACTCTCTTTGTGGCTCTTCTTCAAGCGCTTGTTATTTTTCCTTGTCCTTGGTGAAAAACACATTGCTTCCATGTTTTTCACGATTTAACAGTTAAGAAGAAAGGTGTGGGGAAAAAATTCCTACAAAGCTTGTGCCTCAGAAGAAAAAATTGCAGACAAGTGGGCTTAAAAGAAAAATTCATGCACCGAAAATTTTTCACCCCCCGCCTGTTATTTCTAATGGTCCGTCCCTTAAAGCCTACAGCCTAGTTTATGACGTAATTGAGTTCGAAAATATCTGGTAGATCTGTCTGATTATAAAAAAATCCACCCTGCCCTAGCCTGGTCAGTTCATATGGCGGTAAAATCCCAGACGATCAGGGATTTTACTTTTTGATCGGATCTGAATCGCTAGAAGTCTGTCCCAGATACTCCCGATATTGAAGTTGGCGTGAAGAAACGGAAAGTGCGCCAAAAATTGAAATTTCATGATGTTGTACACAAATGTATGATAGGGAGACTGGATCCCAACAATTAAGAGGGTTGGTAATGAGAGAAATCCATCGCCGACGTCTCCGACGGTACAAATTTCAGTTTTCATTTGTTGGGAATGATCGCCGACCATCGCAGAAATCTGGGACGTGTCGGGAAAATAGAAACGCTCTCGATTCTCCAGATTTGTCTCCGTCCATCCTAAATGATCAGGGATATATTCGATTTCGAGTTTTTAGTGGGCAAAATCTGGGACAGTCGGGGAACACTGAAATCCCCGATCGTCTAGGATTTTCCCGACATATGAAAACCAGGCTTAAGAGTGACATGCCGAGTTTAACTGTGTTTTGTCGACTCTGTTCCCATATGGAAATTCTTGGAGGTTACTTTCCCGGGGTGGGTGGGAGGGGGGTTTCTCTATAATGGGCTACACGGGGAGGCCCAGCCCAAACAGGGATATCTTTTCAAGTAATACACTAACAAAATTGATTGCAAGGCTGATAAGACAGCTAGGGATTGGCAATTTATTTATTCATATCTTTTCAGGCTTCACTGAGGTAATTACGTGTAAGGGATTTCAAAATATATAATTATATCTAGCCGAATTTATGAAAACCGCACCAGCTGGCTACTCAGTAGGCCACAGAGCCCAACTTGATTTAAATAAAGTAAATATTGTAAAAAAACTCAGCTCTTACCCATAAGCCTTGTAAGGTGGCTCTCCTGATTAGCAAAGAAATATTCAAGTCCCTCATCAAAAAGACACTCTCAACTTGGCCATCTCTATCTGCGTTAAGGCTCTACATGACAGAGGCAGCTTGAGACTTAAGCAAGCTCTAAGCAGAGAATTCAAGGCCATATCACCCCCCTCCCCCCCGCAGGGACTGAGTTTGATGATGAGACCAACCAAGACAGCAAGCTTCCTACGAATTCTCAATGTGCGAATATTCTGGGCCTTTTCGAGCAGCACGTTTTCAAAAGTTCGGCTAGATAAATGGTGGTAAAAGAGTGAGGGGCTGGGCTTTGGGGGAGGGGGAGGGGCGCGGGGCCTCCGCGAATGAATATTTGGCGAGAAAACATATCCATAACCGCGGCAAGTTTGTGGAGTTTTAGTCTATAGAAGCTTACAGAGTGGGTGGTCGCGGGTTCGATTCCCAAAATCACAAAGGGTTTTTAAAACAACAGAGAACCGAGAAAGGCACTGCGTATGGCTGGGACGACCACACGGAAACGTCGGTCCCTTTTCCAGCAGAAGCAGTGAAAAGATCGTTTAACAGTGTCGTGTCTAAAATAAGTGCTTGCGTGCTAAACACATTGACACTTGAGTTCGTGGGGGACACCTAATCATCCATTTACTTTAAGCGGATGTCCCGGCGAAATGCAGCAATTGGTATCGACAAGTGTGCAAGATGTTCATGAACTGGATTAAAATATTCATTTTATTCTTGTGTACTAGAGCGGTTTTCACTTGACTGTCGTAAAACCAAAACCAAAGTAAATACACTAGCCAACCAAAGGGCGTAGTAAAACCAAAACCAAAACCAAAACCAATCCCTTTCGACAGTCAAGTGAAAACCGCTCTAAACTGTTTTTATAAGGCAAATAAATCATAAACAAAAGATATTAAGTGCGCCCCGCCCCCCTTGATTGCGCGCGCGGCGTACTCTATTCATTTTCTTCGGGCACCTGTTCTGCTTGTTGAGGTCCTCATCAACTGAATGTGGCTCTGACACAGGCAATTTCCAGGTTTTTCATAGCAGGAAGTTATTAAATAGTATTCAATACGATAAAAAGACCTAACTTAAACACACATTTTCATGAACATTTTAAGAGGATTAGAACCTATTGAACCTGAGAACTACGAAGGTGTTACTTTTAGTCTTCCTACGCCCTCCACAAAAAAAGAATCTAATGGAAACTCAGTGTCCAGTAGAGGAGGGAAAAAATTCCGAGTAAGACCTGAAATACTCACTGCTGGAGCAAATATACATATATTTTTTCTTAGCTATTTCAAGAACGCTATTCGTGCAAATGTATCAGTTCTGAATGTATCTTCTCAGTGGGTCATCAAACTCAACCGGAACCTCCCTTTTCCTGTTATGTTGCTTTTAGGAAACATCGGCTTAATGAATTAAAACCGCACAGGTGGACCGGATTTCTAGATTCTTTAAATCCTCACGCAATGGTTTCTTAGTTTTCTTGGCAAAGTGAGCTAGTCGATGATTATACTTTTCTGGGAGGACTGCCCACCTACCCCTCC